CACTTTAAGAGGAAATGAAATATATCCAACTTGTTAGTCTATACACATTCTATCTGTTCTCCAAGCACCTTGTTTCTACAGCTCCCTATCTATGGAAAAATCTTGATCAGTTGAATAATTACTGACTTTAAATCAAATGCCTTGACAGTATCAATATAATTCCCTTGGTGTAATAATCCTTTTCCACACAACCACGTACGCATCAGAGCCTAACTGCCACTCCCTCCTTCGTTTCCTCTGGGCCCATTTGAGAAAAGCACTTTTAAAGGGCAACACAGTGAATCAAGCATGTTGTCTCCACAATGGCGCAGCTGTGGAATCGTTGCACACTTTCCTATTAATAACATTATATGTTATTTATAAGCAGGACATTGCAAATATGTTGATTTCATTAGCCTTGTCATATGGCTTCTTTGGGGTTTTTTTATAAGTGAACAGCTGGTTTTCACAAAAATTTATTAAGTTATCATGATTAAAAAACTAACTTCAAAATCTAAAAGCTTCAGTTTTACTTGGCAACGACAGTGGACATGAATTATTCAAGATGTGATATGTGACAGGTGCAATGTGCTGATAAAATATCCTTCTAATTTCTACACTTATTTTAGAAAATTATTAATCCCACCTGGAATCCTAACCAAAAGAAAGAAATGCTTCCAATGGTTATGCTAATGAGTTTATTAGAATGAAATTGTGTTTGAAAAATCAGAAGAAGTCGTGAATTAGTTTAAATTAACATTTTCAGATGCATGAGGGCAGCCAGAACAAAATTACTCCTGCCACTTTCAAGCCTACTACACTTCTAAGCCCTCCACAAATACATTCTGTTCCTTCCCAAGGAATTGTATATCAGCCAAAATATATCTATCCTCCTCTTCAATGCCTGTTATCACTTCATGACTCATCAAACGTCCCCTGGATCAGAGAGCTGTGCCATGCATACAGGTTCCGAAGCCTGGCTAAGGACCCAGGTGTCTTAGTTGTCTAATGCAGCTACCCCAGGAATAGGACAAGTAGGTGACTTCAGGAAAGGAAATGTCTTATTTCCTGGTTTAGGAGACTAGACGTCCACATTCGAAGGCTCTGTTGTAGGAGAAGGCCTTCCACTTGTCTTGCCTCTGGAGGAAGGTCCTTGTGTCCTGTAAGCAGCCAGAGGCCCAGCATTCCTTGAAGGTCTCTTTGTGTCTTGACATTGAGCTTCCCCTGCATCTCGGGCGTTCTCACTGCCAAGAACCCAAGTTAAAAGAATAGCTTCTACCCTTGGCTCCTCTTTTTTGTGGAAAATGAGGCCCTCCTCTTCTCTTCTTGCTTCTCTCCCCTTTTATTTCTTGTGACATAAAAGCTGGAGCTCACAGAAGGGTGTGGTGTGAGGATGGCCTAAAGAAGGCGGTTGACTTCAGCACAGTGTGAATTAAATCATCCCCTCTTCTAAAACTATGACTCAAGATACACCCCGCACTGACCCTGATTCGTTCACACACTGAGGTTAGGATTTACAACACATCACGGAATGAAGGATAGTTCTATCAAAAAAGAGAGAGCAATTGTAAATCCTGGTCTAGCTAAGCTGACACATATTTAGGGAGCAGACATAATTCAATCCATGTTTCAAGAAATTACTGGCTGAAAGTATCAGATCATTGTTTGATCTGTGAAATGAAAACAATTTTAAGAATAAGAGAGTTACTCATGCTAAAGTATACATTGCGGTATTGCTTTTCAGCTCTTTTATTGTATGAGAAATCTAAGGGAAATATTTCAAAACATTGCTCCTTATCAAAACATTAGAGAGACCCAAACCAGCCAGCCTCCTCTAGGCATCACAAGCACAGGATCTTTTTTGAAGTCACCCAGGAACCTTTTCCTTGTTGACCTCAAATGCTTCCGGCATTCAGAAGATGTGCACCTCAGCTTCCTGTCGACAGCGCTTTCATCGTAAGAGCCGAAGCAACACCACTGAGACGGCGGCACGAAGCGTGAGGCGTGCTTTTCCTTCTCCGAATAGAGGGTCTGCACACACAGCGTGCATGTCCAAAGTTCTAACGGCTTAGGTGGTTTTTGTTTGTTTGTTTGCAGCTAAAACAAAAAGCACAACCTAGAAGCTTCCTAATCTTAAAATGTACTACGTTTTCAATGTAGTTTTATACGTCAAATATTATGTGGGGGGGGGGCATCACAGGGAAAATTGATTAATTAATGTAAATGTTCTTATAAAAATGGGATTCACACACAAAACAAACCAGCAAGCTAAAGTATTAAGAAGGAAAATAAAATTATGGCTTGAGATAAAATGAATAAAATAAATAAATATCTCACAGGAAAAGAAAAACATAAAAGGTGCGCAACTTCATTAATAATTAAGGAAACTCAAATTAACACACTGAGATTTACTTTTTTATCTACCAAATTACAAAAGTTTTTAAAACTCTGATGATTCAGTGTGACAAGGGTTTAAGGGAAGTCAGTACTCTCACATTGCTGGCTAGAAATGTACATTATCAAAACATTTTATAAAAACCAATTTTGCACTCTATCAGTAAAAAAAATTCAGTTCTTATTGAAGCATGAATTCCAGTCTTAAAAATTCACCTTGCATAAATGTTAGTAAAAGAATGCCAATATGTGTAAAGATTCATTGCAGCAATGTTTGTAGCAAAAATTCAAACAACTTAAATATTGCTTAAGACTAGCTAATAGAACGTTTATCCATAGAGTTGAATGGAATGCAGTAATTTGTAAGGTTGAATTAATTTGTATTGCTGATATGGAAAGTGTTCCAAATATATTATTAAGTGGAAAATTTAAGATGTGAAAAAAAAAATTTAAGATGTGAAAACCACAGGTATCATCTCTAGAGTATAAATAAAAAGGATATATATCTATATGTATATCTACACAGTTAATTTTTTCTGAAAAAATGTACAAGGAACTGTTAGCAATGACTACTCTGAAAAGGAAGGCTGTAAATAAGGGTGAAGGCATAATTTAGCTTTTAAAAATATCTTTCTAATTCTCTTAAACGTTAACTATTGGCAGTGATTAAGGGTTTTCTGTTCTGTTTTGTTTTAATTTTAGTAATGAGCTAGGTGGTAGCAACTTTGCTTTTGTTTTGTTTCCTCTTTTCTTTTAGTATAAGAACTCCTAACAGTTAGAACTCTCTGACCATGGAAGGCATAAATCAATATCCCTGGAGTTGATTTCTACTCATAGTGACCCAGCACACCCTCCCCATCGTGTTTCCAAAGTTATACATATTTACAGAAGCAGACTGCCACATATTTTCTCTTGAGAAGCAGCTGGGGGTTGAAGTCCCCGATCCCTTGGTCAGCAACTGTGCACTTACCACTGCACCAGTGGGGCTCCGAAATGGAAGGGATAGCCCAGCAAACAATCAAACCTGGGTCAGTGATGTGTGTACGCCTGAAACACACCCCACTCTCCACCTCCCTGGCTACCCAAGTCCTACCCAGGAATGCTTGAGTGGTCCAAACAGTTGACATGCTTGGCTCTGAATTCAAAGCCTGGCAGTTAGCATCTACCCTGAGGTTCCTGAGGAGAATGACCTGGAAATCTACTCTGAAAACTGTCCTGTTCGGAAACTGTATGGAATACTTCTACTCTGCTACAGAAGATGGTGTTGAGACAGAAGCAACTGGACAGCAACTGGTTAAGTCCTATTCCACCTTCCAGAGTGAGCTCAACCCTCTTCCACCTTCCAGAGTGAGCTCAACCCTCTTCCACCTTCCAGAGTGAGCTCAACCCTATCCCACCTTCCAGAGTGAGCTCAACCCTATCCCACCTTCCAGAGTGAGCTCAACCCT